CATCCCCTGCCACTGGAGCTGTCAGTGGGGGAACAGCCGTGCAGCACATGTAGGTCCTGCCTCTCGAGCTGCGGGACCTCGAGGTCCTTAAAATAATCCCAGAGAAATAAACAAACAAACAACAAAATTAATGCCAAAAGCAAATGGAGAACAGACTTATTCCAGTCATTTTCTCCAGCAGAGTCTATTCAAAGCCCAGAGAGAGGATGACACGCTGGGCCAAGCCAAACACCCCTGCAACACATCTCAAACAATGGCTTCACAGAGCACGGAGCCAGAGGGAATATTGTGGTCATTCACTCAGATTTTCTGCAGAACACATGCCATGGCACTTCCCAGAATTCATTGTTTAAGCGAGGCAAAGCTTGCCGAAAAACAGGCACTCTTCAACTTTTCCAGGGAGGATGGATGCACTGGGATGCACAGGGAAGAGGGGGGGAATTTCTTTCTTTACCCATTTTGAGGACTGTGTGTAACTGGACTGAAAATCCCATTGACTGGAAACAGCAGTTTCAGGGAGATGGAAACTATTTGCAATTTTGGGCTAAGATCAGACTTAACTGAACTGGGCATTTTTAGCACAAAGTGTTTGGACTTCTCATTTCCTAGGATTAGTTCATCTCTGGAAAGGGAAGGAGGACAAAGGAAAAATGCCACCACCTAAAGCAAACAGTAAATATTCTGTTTGAGTTTGGGAGCGATCCCTCCCTTGCCTTTGCTTTGAAATTTCCCTTGCCTTTAGCCTGGGGCGAGGGAAGGGCATTTGACTCATTGGAAATACTCTCCTTGCTCTCCATGTCTCCCCAGCTGTGGTGCCAACTCATCATTCCTGCTCCACTCTGCATTCCAGCACCCCATTTTTCTAATCCTCTTCTTTGTTTGTTGTGTCTGGTCAACAAATACATCAATGCCAGGGAAGGAATAACCCACTTTGCCTAAAAGAAGGAATTTCTCCCGTGGAAATCACGACACTGTTTGCCCAGAGTCACCTGAACCCAGCTTTGCCCTCACACCCAGCTTGCAGCTTAATCCAGACTAAGATCCAGCCAAAATATTCCTTCAGTTTAGGGCGTAGAGGAATATTTCCTGCACCTCAGGAATCTGGACGCTGCTCTGCAGTGCCGGGTTTCTCCACAGCTGAATAAGACCTGGCAGGAGGAGCCGGCAGAGCCGACCCCAGGGGAGCACTGGCAGGGAGCAAAGGCTGCATTCCATGCAGGAGCAATGCCGGAGGGGCTGCACCCCAGGAGATGCACACGAGGGTTTCAGGGTTGGATTTTGGGTGTCCTCCTCCTCTGAGCTGCAATGGGGATGAGCAACGTGCTCATCCCCCACTTCTGCACAGCAGGGTCAGGAATGGGAAAGAAGCCAATTTCCCTTCCAGTGTTCCTGGGCTCATGGAAACGAAGGAAAACCAGAGAAGGAGAAAAATAAAGGACGTAGGGAAGCTCTGACAAATGAAAGGGCAAGGATTGGGCAAGGGGAGGGAGCCCAGGGAACAAGGAGGCTGCAAGTCGTTGCCAAACCACTGCAAACCCAGTGACGAGATTACACTTGGATGAGGCTCCTGGAAAAACCAGCTGAGGGAGGGAGGCAATCTGGCCAGGGATTAATGAGCACTGAAATCCACTTCCCCTGCCAGTGCCCAGTGGCTGCTGGAGATGACAACCGTGCCTGAGTCAGTGCATTGGGGAGCTGCAGCTGCTCCTGCAGTGGCGCGGGGGCCTGGAGAGAGGCAGGCGGGCACATGGAAGTCACCCAAACCCTGGGATACTCCCCCAGCCCTTTCCCACCATGGCTGGGGAACCTGCAGGGGCTCAACTGACCCCAGGCCCAGAGGGAAGAGGAGAGGGGTGGTTTGAGGCTGGCAGGAGCAGAGCCAGGAATCTTGCTCAGCAGGAATAGCAACGGGCATCATGCGTAGCTTCACCTGAAAGAAGGGCAGAGTGTCTGTGCGTCCATGTGTGGACAGGGAGAGGGCAGAGAGTGTGGTCGAGGTTGGATGTAGGAACTTCTGGACTGCCCAGGGAGGTGGTGGAGTCCCCAGCCCTGGAGGTGTCCAAGGAAGGCCTGGCTATGGCACTCAGTGCTCTGGGCTGGGGGACAAGGTGGGCATCGGGCACAGGGGGGACTTGATGGGCTGGGAGGGCTTTTCCAACCTGAATGATTCTGTGATTCTTCCTGGAGCTGGGAGTGAAGCCTGTGCCATCGAGCATCACAGAGCCTGGGAACCCCCAGAGGAAAGGGAGCACCAATGGGATGAGATGCTCTGGTTTTCATCCAAAAGAGCAGCTCGGGGGGTTCCTGTGAAAGCCCCTCTCCCCCATCCCTTCCCACAGCCTGAGCCACACCAGCCTGGCTGCAAGACAGTCTCCAGTGTCTTCAGAGGGGACAAGCAGGAAGCAGGAGCAGGTTTTGGTGGGGGTCAGTCTCCAAGCAGGAGGTGGCTGTGGCGAGGGAAGAGCCCACACACGCCGGATGAATTCCTGAGGTGAATCTCGGGCTGGGGCAGGACCCAGCTACCCCAGAGAGGCTGAGCCCAGGAGCTCATGTCACCAGCCTCTGAGGACAGACCAGTTCTGAATGATTCAGAGACCAGGCCCAGCAGCAATTCCTCCACAATGACATCCTTGTGGCAGGAAAATCTCTTTTATTAAGGGAAAACCACTAAACAGAAGCACTGGTTTCAGAGAAACAACCATTCCAGGCCCACCAGAGCCAGGGAAGCCAAAGGCCATCCCTGTGAGCCCTGGGCTGCTTCCAGGGGGCTGATGGATGTCAGATGCCCGGCCAGGCTGCAAACACACCGGGCTCTCATTTTAATGACAGTGATTCCCGAATTTCGGGCAAGAAACGTCAACATCAGCTCTGCCTTCCTCCCCCTGATGAAAGGGAAACAGATCTATTACTATTTTGTCAGTAAATGTTTTTCCTGGCTACGGGACCTGCTGGCTCTTCAAAGGCAAGTGAAAATTTGGTTCCATCCAGCTGTTCCCATGCACTGGGAGCGGGGCCGAGGTAGGAAACCAGGGCTGGCTGGGCTGGGACGGAGCAGACGGCCAGGGAATGACAGGCTGGGGAGAAAAACTCATCAATCATTGCTCAGGACCTGCCCTGCTCCCAGGTCTGCCTTCTGGCCACAGACAGAGGCTCTGGGCGCAGAGGCAGCAGCAGGGGGGAGCCCCCCAAGGCCCCTGCCTGGGCAGGGGGTCAGGGCTGGCATCCCTGGGGTGAAGGGCAATGCTGGCTCTGGGGGGGCTCGTTATGGACACCCCACTCCAGCCAAGCTTGGTGCTGAATGACTGGGTTGGATCCTTCCCTTCCTAATCCCCCTGGGAAATAAAGACTGTTGGTAATGGTTCATTTACTGAGCCAATTCCTACCACCTGCCCTAGAAGGGGACTTTGAGCAAGGGCATGGAGTGACAGGACAAGGGGGAATGGCTTCCCACTGCCACAGGGCAGGGTTAGATGGGATATTGGGAAAAAAATTCTTCCCTGTGAGGTGGTGAGGCCCTGGCACAGGTTGCCCAGAGAAGCTGTGGCTGCCCCATCCCTGGAAGTGCTCAAGGCCAGGTTGGATGGGGCTTGGAGCAACCTGGGCTGGTGGAAGGTGTCCCTGCCCATGGCAGGGGGTGGCACTGGATGGGCTTTAAGGTCCCTCCCAACAAAAAACATTCCCTGATTCTATGATTACTCCCTCACTGGATGAGCCTTCTCCCATTACTCACCCAGAGACTCAGCTGCAGGGATATGAAAAGATTTGTCTGAGGAAGCCAAAGGCTGGTCTGCACAAGTAGCCACGGGAAGCCAGTGGCAGAACCAAGGTTTGAGTGTAGACCCAGTGAGCCTTGACTGCAAGAGCATCCCGGGTGCCTCTCACCCTCCTGAATATTCAATGGCCAATCAGTGTTAACAGCTCAGCCTGGAGCCCGACCGAGGTCTGCCCGGCTCTTTCCATCCTGGCCTGGGTATCCACACGGGGCTGCCCGGAGCGAGGCGGTGAAGAAAATTAAATGAAACCTCAGCCGACAAACCTGACAGCGGCCTAATTTGGGAAGGCAACATGCCCCAGGCCCTGCCTGCGGGGCTGGGAGAGCAAACGGCTCTAAACGCTCCAAAAATCCCTCCATCCTGCGCCCGCGCCCCAGGAGACTCACAGCCCCGGGAGCGCTCCGGCTGCTCCCGGATCTGCCTCTCCAGCTGGGAATGTGCCGCACACCGGGACGGCCGGAGCAGTTGGAGGGAGCTGTCACTGCCAGCAGTGCATCACTCCCAGCTAATTGCTTGGGATGACTCTGCAGGGCCATGCCTGGTGCTGCAAACACCAATCCATCAGCCTTTCCCTCGGGAACACGGCGATGGGGAGCCGCTCTGCACCCCTGGGCACGCACCTGGGACAGTCCTTGGGCAGGTGAGGAGCCAGATTTTCCCGTGTCCTGTGCACTGGCTGATTTTGCTGGTGCTGCCTGGTGCTCTGCAGCCCTTCAGGTCTCATCCAGGGGCTCTCCAGCCATCCATCCACAGGCACCACGTCCTCCCCGAGCCTCTTAACCTTGTGCATGTTTTTAAATGATGCCGTTGCCTTTGGCTTGCACAGCATTTTATTTGTTCTTTATAGCCCTGGTCTCACACAGGGTGGATGCTGCTTGGAGAGAAATAGATGCTGTGGGGGGGAGGATGGGCTGGCTCTCGAGGTGTAACCCTGGCTTTGACATTGACTCTCCACAGGCCAAGTGTCCCCTCTGCCTGTAAAACAGGGACAATGACATTTGCCTGCTGCTGGAGAAGCTGGGAGAGGGCATCAACCATCTTAGATAAAAAGCAGCTTTTTAAACAAGGTGTCCCTACAAGTGTGGGGAGAGGGAAATTATAAATCATAGAATCATTAAGGTTGAAAAAGACCTTAGAGATCATCAATTCCAACCATCAGCCCAGCACCACCACTCTATTATGAGCTCATATTGCTCACATTATGAGCACATCTGGGGTGGACAAGGCTCATGGGCCTTTGGGTCACCTCTAGTGCTTGATACAAACACTGACCACAAAGCCCAAGGCAGAGGGGTTCTTCTCTGCTTTCAGGGTCTGAGGAATTTGGCTAAATTCAGCCCAACCTCAGCGTACACATCTGTTCCCTCCAGGGCTGTGTGAGTCACAGAGCTGCTCTGATGCCAGCGAGGATGAGGAGCCAACAAAACACCCTGGCACTTGTTCTTTTCCCTGCCAAGAAAGTTGCAAGAAGTGCTGGATGCTGCTCTTCTGTGCTCAAGAGGTAAGGAAAGGCGGGTTCAGCTCCTTCCCACCTCCCAGGGAGCCAAGGGGATGCTCAGGCTGGAACAGGAGGGATGCACCCACCGGCTGTGGGACGTTCATCACCCAGCTCACTCCTCACCACATGGGACGAGGTATGAGCTCATATCCTGCACCTCTAAAGCCCCTCCCCCCTCAAGCCTTGTTTGGCAGCTTTTCCCTAGATTATTAATTGTATTTCCACATTAATCCTTACGTCCCTGCCTGCCAGTTGCCTCCCTGTGAAACGCCATCAGGCTTTCGCCGTTCTGTCCCAACCATTCCCTTTGTGCCTCCTCCAGCCAAAAACCGGGGTGATGGATCACCTCGAGGCAGTGAACGCAGCACGCAGCTTCCCAAGGGACACCAGGCCAGATTTCTCCACAGTGGCAGACCCCAAGTCATACCTGGAGCCAGCCCAAGCCAGCTGGCCAGCCCAGGAGGAAGAGGAGCTAATGGATCCCACCGGCTCTCACTCAGCAACAAACAACAGCGATTAACACGAAGTGTGAGAGACTAATTGGACATTTAACCCAACTCTGGCACCGCGGGCCTTGTGCTGTAGCTGAAGAGAGGAATGATAGGCCCAGTCCTCAGCTGCAAGGCCCTCTCCTGAGCCCAGAGCTGTAACCAGATACACCCCGGTTGTACCCCAGCTTCCGACAGCCAATTCCCCCCTGAGGGATGCTCACGTTTGGTGAGTGGAGGAACAGGAGGAGAGAGGAGCTTCATGGAAGTTGACATGAATAAAAACATTCTCAATATGGTTTTGTTTGTCTTTTTTTGTTAGCTTTTCATCTCATTTTTTATCTTTTTCCAATTCTCAGAGAGAAACAAGTCTGGAGGGGTTTCAGCTTTCCCTGCAGTGCTCCAAACACAAATGTAGCAGCATCAATCATCTCCATGTAAACAAGCAGAGAACCAAGGCCACTGCACCAAGAGTTAGACTTCCATGATCCAAAATTACCTGCAAACTCCTCCATTTTCTGCCACTGTCCATTATTCAGAGTGAGGCAGTGGGTGCAAACGTGGGAAATCCACGGCAGCTGTGGAGTCACGGTGGCTCTTCCCATAGCAGCAACCCAGAATGGTTTAGATGGGAAGGGACCTTAGAACTCATCTCGTTCCATTCCCCCTGCCATGGGCAGGGACACCTTCCACTATCCCAGGTTGTTCCAAGCCCCATCCAACCTGGCCTTGGACACTTCCAGGGATGGGGCAGCCACAGCTTCTCTGGGAAACCTGTGCTAGTTTTTTACCACCGTCATTTTAAAAAAACTTCTTCCTTAGTAGCCACACCAAATGCCAAATGAACAGTCAAATTAGCCTGACAGTCTTGGACTGGACAATTCCCAAATCCACAGGCACTCTCCCAATAACCACTCCAGCATCCCCATCACACATCAATATCCAGGGGAGTCAGTGTTTGTGTTCTTTGCTGTCCATCAGTTTTACTGATGAATTTTTATTGGAGCAAATGAGCATTTAGCTCATCTCCCCATGGGCCCTTCTCTCCCTGTTGGCCACCAAACATCCTCTCCCCTGTGCCACCTCCACAGCCCTTCCCTCGCTGTTCCTCGTCTCAGTACCAGCCCAAGCCCAGTCTGGGATTGATTAAACACCACCAAGGGGTTCAGGGAAGGGATAAAAATGTACAGACCACAAAAAGAAGGACCAGAAGGAGACTGCAGCCCGCCCTTGGGCAGATAAGGTGCTGGCCCAGCGGGGACCCTCAGCAGCCCCAGGTAAGCAGCCAGGATCCCGTAATGCTTCCCAGCCGTGCGGGGCCGTAATCAGCTCTCCCTGCCAAGGCAGCAGGGCTAATAAGGGTGATTTATGCAGCGGTCACTAATGGCTGACCTGGGCTCCCATCAATCTCTCCCGGAGCTTTCTGAGGACCGAGGGAGATTACAGCTTTACTGCCAGAAATATGGGAAGCGGCGCAGTGCCGGGATCAGCGCTCCGGGGAGGGGGAGCACGGTTCCTCCCGGGCAGGGGAGGAGGGGCAGGCAGGAGCACCCAACTGGGCACCAGTCCCACCAGCAGCCGTGATGCCTCCAGGCAGTGCCAAACTGGGGCAGAGGAGCAGGATCCACCTCAGACAGCAGCAAGAGCCACTGCTGGAGGCACCCTGGGCACATCTGGGCTCCCGCTGCTGTGAGTGTTGCCACGATGCATAGAGATATCTCATTCTGCTCCTAAATTCAAACCCATTTCTAAATTCCCTGCTCTGCAGTGAATTGAAGCCTCGGGAGTGAACATGAGAGCAAAACCTCTGGGCTGGGATGTCCCACATCAGCCTACCGTGGGCACCCTGGCAGGGATGTGGCACTATTTTGCTGAGGTAGACGTGGGAGTTTGCTTTTAAAATCAAATATCCTGAGCCAGCATCATTTTTACAAACTGCAAACAGCAAAGGAAGGGTTAACCCCACCACAGCCCCCCCCAAAAAGAGGTGGAAATGGAGATACAGGAGGATAAAAGGGCTCTCAGGAGGGGTCAGCTTGAGAGGAAGGGAAACAGAGGAGAGAAAAGGAATTTGCTTCCACAGAAACCCCAAAGGGTTGAAAGAATTTGTGAAGCAAAGGGCCAAAAGGAAAGGGCACAACCTGAGCGAGGTGGGATGTCCCCAGGAGGGGCAGGGACTGTGCACTCAGCCACAGCCCTGGGTGGGTGCTGGGGTGGGGTGGGGTCAGCCCATTTCCTGGTGGTTTAACGAGGAGGAGGAGGAGGAGAACAGTCTTATGGGTGGGCAGGGCAGGAGGCTCCAGCAACACCTGAGCAACAGCAGTTTTCTCCTTGGCCTGGGATCATTAAGCAGAACATTGGCTCAGAAATGAACCCGGGGGCATTTCAGGTGCTCCCAGCTCCTGCCTTTCCTTCTGCACTCTGGGCTGGCTCCTCAGCTGGTTGCTATGGGGAGGAATGAGCAGTGCCCTGGCTGGAGGCAGAGGGGACACGCTCTGCTCGGGGACTGCCACTCCTCACAGCAACACTAAATTGGCCTGATGGATTGGGAACAGACGAGACTCCGGGGACACAGAGCCCAGCTTTCAAGGTGATGCCTCTACCCTTGAACACAACAGTTGCTGGAAATATCCTGCTAGGACAGAGGCTGTGGATGAGGGAGCAGATCCCACTGCATCATTTGGGGCATCAGGGAGAAAAACCAGGAGCCGAACTCCAGGCAGAGGCTGTGATGGATGCGGCACCTCAGTCCAAGCCCAGCTGAGCACCGTGGGCATGGCCCACCGGCTGTTCTGGCACATCTCTCTCCTCTTGGCATCACCACCCTCCCTGTAAAGCACATTAAACACTTAGCAGAGCCCTGGAGCTGTCCGCCTCCACGCCAGGCAGCAGCTCCAGCCGCTGGGAAGCGATCCCTTCCCTGGCACCGACACGAGGGAAATATGTATCGAGGAGAGGAACAGCTCCAAAAGGAAAGACAGAGAGACAACTTTGTTGTCCTGGCCAAATTCGAGCCTGCCAAATTCCGCTTCTCTAAAATGCTGCCTGCATTTTCAATAAATAACGAGAAATCAAAACAAGCCCCGCTCCCTCCCGCTCCGGCTGGTTCGCGGTGGCTGAGCAGACACCTGCCACATCCACTCCTGGCATCGCCGGGAGAATGGATCTGCCCGTATCGCTTGCACATTTGTCTGTAAAGCTCATTAAGATCCGGCAAGATGAAAGGCAGCACAGAAATGTAAGATCATTATCGTTATCAAAAGAAACACAGAAAACTGCTGCTATAGAGGCAGATTTGTTTCCATATCGAGAGCTGTTCAAAGTTCGCCGAGACGCTCTCTAATAAGGTGGCTGTTATATGAATCAACTTCAAGAGCTTCTCTCACGCTGGGGAAAACTTCCAAGGACCCCTTTGCCTCTCTCGTCTGTCGCGCAAATTTTCCGTGTCATTTCTGACACATCGAAGGCGTTTTGGGTACAGGGAAGGCGATCCTGTCTCCCAGCACTCCTGGCTTGGATCCTGCTGAAGTCACAACACACAGTGTGGATGGTCTGGAGAGCAGAGGGATGGGATGGACATTGTGTGATGTGACCATGGACATGGTGTGATCTGACCACAGACATCTCGGCTCATCCCAAGCTGCCTCCTCACCCCTCCCTGGGCAGTGGGTGCAGGCAAAGGCACCCACACATGGGATGGGGCCCAGTGCTCACCCAGCCCATCCTGGGCAGCACCAGCTGCCTTCCAGAGAATAACAGTTTGAATTTAAATACACCAAATCCAATCCAGAGTGTTCTCCCGTGCAGAAATTCCCCACTGAATAGCCCCAGTGTGCATCAGGTGACCGTGGGGGTGGGTTTAGCCATGGCCATCACCAATCAAGGCCATCACCGGGCAATGCCACCACCTCTTGCCTCCCACCAGTGCCTCCCAGTCACAACGCCAGAGGCCTTCCTCTGTGGAGTCCTGCCTGCCATGGATGCTCCAGGAGCCTCCAGGGAGGGACTTCACTTGGCATCACAGCCCCCCTCACACAACCTGCAAAGAGGAACTGGCTGTTTTAAAACAGACTCCAGTTCCTGCTCTGGGAGGTTGCTGGTGCCAAGTCTCAGGCCTGGAGTTGGCTGTTGGGAATTTGGCTGCAGCAAATCTGCTGCTGCCTGGAGGAAGCAGAAGAGTTAAACTTGCTCAAGGCACCATATTTTTTTCCAAGAAGAATCAGTTCTTCCCACACAGGGTCAGTTCTTTTTTGAAACCAGCCTCCCTTTTATCCACAAGAAAATCTGCTCATAATTATAAACCAAGGAAGAAGAGGTTTCTGGAAATATTCATTTGCAGCTGAGCCATTTTCACCCTGGCACAGGCGGAGCCTTCCTCGCTCCCATCTGTCGCGTTGGCGCGGCGGCGGCGCTGCCAGCCCGGCTCTGCCACCCAGCGTGGCACAGGCAGGGGGGAGAATGTGACACGGGGGGGTGGGCACGGGGGGGCCGCCGGGAAACCGGGCAGGGCTCGGAGCGTGCGTCCTGCCCAAGATGTTCAACTTACACATGAACAGCTTGGCACCACGAGGGGCTGGGGGAGCGGGAGGAGGAGGAGGAGGAGCAGTGCAGGCATTGTCTGAGCAGGGAAGAGATGAATGGAGAAGCCTCACACTGCTGAGTTTGATGGAATCCACAGAGCCCAGGCCATCTCTTCAGCTGTACAGCACTGACCTGGAGCACCACTCAGCCCCGAGCCAGGCAGCCCACACTCCCTCTGCCCACCCAGCACCTCTGCCTGGCTCCAGGTACTGAGCCCAGGGAATGGGATCCTTGCTCCTTCTGCAGGGAAACCTCTACAGCTTCTCCCCATCCAGTCTCTCTCTCCCTCTTCCGTAGCCACATCCCATTTATGGACATGGCCATGAATAAATCAATCTGCTGCTTGGTGCCTCCACCTTCAAATATTTATAGACTGTTATTATACTTTTCACTCCCTCCCTGTACACACGTGCCCTTTCCTTTAAATGTCTCTCCACCAAACTCTGTATATTTAGTTCTTTTAATCCCTCCTCATAAATCTACCCTGATCCACTCCCGGCACTGTATCCACTCATTCCTGTGGATGAGAGGCACCACGGTGGCTGGACACAGCAGAGCTGTCCAGGAAGGGCTGTTGTCACCTCTCTCCAATGGCACAGTGCCTGGGGACCAGGCTCAGAGTGTGTTGGACTGCTCCAAGCATCTCCTGGGCATCATCTGCAATTCCCAGCTCCAACTTCCAGTCAGACTCCAGCTTTCTGCCCTTGTTGGATTTTGCATGTTCTTATTTCTCTCCTTTTTTTTTTCCTCCTTTTTCCCAACTGCGAATGACAAAATTGTGAGCAGCTCCCAGACAAGTTGCAAACCCAGAAATCAGCTATTTCTGGAGACTGAATTTTAACTTCCTTTCTTATTTGCAAATTGCCTGGGAGCAGCTTGTGAGTACCAGGAAATCAGGAGCCAGGGAAGGCTGCGAGTTCACACACCACGTGGGATCCTTCCTCAGTCTGGCAAGCTCTGAGCCATCAGGAGCAGGAGCCCCATTCCCTGGGCTCAACACCCCCATTTGGGAATCATAGAATCATGGAATGGCATGGATTGGAAGAGGCCTTAGAGCTCATCTCGTTCCATTCCCCCTGCCACGGGCAGGGACACCTTCCACTATCCCAGATTGCTCCAAACCCTGTCCAACCTGGCCTTGGACTTCCAGGGGTGGGAGAAGACTGCTGCTCCACAGCACCCCCATGGCATCATTCCCTCTCCAAGCTGGAATGGGGATGGGGCATGCAGGGAAGGAAGGTGCTCAGCCTGGCAGCTCTGCCATGGCCAGCCCTGCTCAGGGAAAGTTTGGTTGAGGAATGGGAGAACCAAGTTCACCTTTAAGAGAGAAGCAAAGAGGGAAGGCAGAGCCTGCTGGGGGAAGCAGGTTTGCTCATGCCAGGCAGGCCCCAAGCAGAGCTGCAAAATCTACTCAAGTTTATAATTTGCTGTAATGAAGCTGCTCCAGGCAACAAACCCTGAGTGGCCACAGCCGATGGAGCCAGTGACACAGATCCCTGGGACTACAGCCTGCCATGGAATCCTACCCCTGCCAGGATAACCCCTCAGGTAATCACAAAAAATGACCAATTAAACAGTCTGTGTGAAGCCATCAGAAAGGCTGAGGGGATTTACTGAGCTCAGGGTGGTTTTCCAGTCAAGGGATCAGACAAATGTTCTTCCCCACGCAAAAAGCCTTGTGTTCTGTGGGGACACAGCAGCAGGCAGGGCTGGAGCAGGGTTCCCATCACTGGGCAGTGTGGCACGAGGAAGGACAGGCCCAGGAGGGTCAGCAAGGGGCTGCACAGGAGTTTTAAAGGGAGTTACAGTGGCAAAAGCACCTGGACCATCCCAAGGCTTCAGTGGAACATCCCCCCCTCCATGGATTGACCAGCTTTGGTCCATCTGGAAACCTCCCCAAAGCCAGAGCATCTCAGCCATCCCACATCATCCCAGCCCCCCTCTTCCTTGAACTCCCAGCCCTCACTTCCACAGGCAGCTCCACAGACTGGCTGCCTTCACCCCGAGCACATGCACATGGAGTTCCTGCTCCCCAAAAAAGCTGGAAGAAGGGACGACCCTAAGGTCACTGGGGGTGATGGGCTGTGTGAGACTGAGCTCCAGACTGGAGTTAAACTCCAACACAAACCTTCAGCCCCTTCATTTCTGAACCCCTTTTTCTCCCCACCCAGCCTCTCAGGACTTGCCCACAGCCCCACTTCCCACCTATCAGGTGCTGCTTTGTGTGGCTGAGCAAACCCAACTCAGCTGGAAGCTCTTATGCCATTAAACCAACCTCAGTCCCCTCACAGCTTTTTCTGTGTCCCTCTGCAAGTCTGGGGGCTCTCAGCCGTGCAGGCAGAGCCACGTCAGAGGACTTTCTGTTCACCTTCAGGGGTTGCTGCTGCTGGAGAACAAGTGCCACGTTCCTGCCCGTGGCTGCTGTCACGGTGAGCTGGGAGCTCTGAGCTCTGTCCCAGTCTGGGTCAGGTGAAGTGGACTGGTGTCCTCAAGCAAGGGGTTCCCCTCTGTCAGGACATGAGCTGCTCCCTGGTCCCCAACCTGTGAGCAGTGGGGGCTGTAATTATCCTCTGGCCCTCGCACAAATTGCTCATTTGACTTTGAGCGTGGAGTGCTGATGCGCTGGCTGGGTTTGGAATTGGGGCTTAAATCAAAGCACTTCCTCCAGGGAGCTGGGGGAGAAGGAGACAATTAGATTTGAGCCCTGAAGTTTTACAAGTCTAATAAATTTCCTGGTAGCCTGCGGCTGCCGTGGAGAGCCAGGCGAGAGCCCTCGGTGAGTGAGAGCCAGCATTTCTCAGGGCAGGGAGCCACAGAGGCACCACACAGCTCTGTCTGCAGGGGGGTGACTTATCTGACCCCCTCACTGCTGCCCCTGGCTGCTCTGGAGCTGGGATGGGAACTGGGAGTGGAGACACCACATTCCTCATGTCCACTGTGACCTCGGTGGGGGGACAGCACAGCCGGGAGTGACAGTCCTGAATCCCACTCTGCACATCCACAGTGGCCTTGGAGCTGGTGGGTGGCAGAGGAGAAGAGGAAGGTCAGAGCCAGCAGTGTGGAGGGAAGCAGCTGGACACAGCGGGAAAAGAGCATCTTCTTAATTGTGTTTCACAGCATTGCTGGAAAAGGGACAGTGGCAGAGAGGTGGCAGAGAGGTGACAGAGGTGTTGGCACTGACACAGCGAGCACCTGGCAGGGACAGGACAGGGCAGCCCTGGGAGGGGCAGCAGGATCACCCCCAAAAACTCCTACACCCTTCGTAAGGCACAGCCTTGCCTGTGGCTGCTTGTTATCCTGCTGGAGCTGCTCTTCTTCCACTGGGACCTAAACACACCCCACCTCACCTCAGCAATGCTAGTGGGGGAGAGGACAGAGAGGGGAGCTCCTTTTCCCCGGGAAACAGCTCCCGACAGCCCCTGCAGCAAACCCATCCTCTGCCACCACCGAGGCTGGTCCCACCCGGGCTGGGCTCGTGTCTCCTCCCACGGGCAGGGGAGATGGAGCAGCTGGAGGAGCTGCTCAGGGGCTGTCCTGGGGGGAGCACGTCCTGGCACAGCGACCTGCCCACGCCTGCCTGGGCTCTGCGGGGCTGGGAGGCAGCACACCCCGGCTCCTGTGTGCCATAGGATTGTGGAATGGTTTGGGTTGGAAGGGACCTTAAAATTCATCTCATTCCAATCCCCTGCCATGGGCAGGGACACCTTCCACTAGAGCAGGTGGCTCCAACTTGGCCTTGGACACTTCCAGGGATGGGGCAGCCACAGCTTCTCTGGGCAACCTGTGCCAGGGCCTCCCCACCCTCACAGGGAAGAATTTCCTCCTAATATCCAACCTAACCCTGCCCTCTGGCAGTGGGAAGCCATTCCTCAGCTGGGACAGCACAGGAGGGGCTGAGGCAGAGACACAGCCCAACAAGGAGGGCTCTGAGTAAAAACGAAGAGCCTATGGCTCCTGGGAATTCTCCTCCTGTGCTGTCTTGTCCCAGATGTGGTGTCCCTGTTCCAGACTGTCCTCTGTTCCTGCCCTGGCACTGCCAGGTGCAGCAGTCCCAGTGCCAGCAAATCTCTGGAGAGGAACAGAATTGCACTGGAGAAAACCCCCTTTTGCTGCCTGAAGAAGCAGCTCCTCTGCTCTGTCCCCCACCTTTGCGGCCACCTCTAGTGTTTGTTTAACATCAATTTGCTGTAAATTACATATTCCTCCAACACGATGTAAAATATGTTTTATGCTCTCATTTTCCCCCTGTCTTCCTGCTAAACCTTTTTCTTTTCCAATTTGAGCTGGATACGCTGTGCTGGGATTAGCAGAGATGTGTTTAAGCAGCCAGTCAACCCTCAAGCACTTCTCATAAAACCTGGAGGTCTCTGCAAGTCCCCTGCACTTGTCGCTGGTGACCATAAATCCCCATTTCAGGGGGGCTTTTCTCTCCCTCCCCTTTTCTTTCCTCTCTCCCACTTCAGGCAGGTGAGGGGTTGCAGTGTGTGGTGGCTGGAGCTCGGCAGCACACGGAGCAGGACCGGGTGGGTTTCAGCAGGGTCTGTTCCCCAGCTCATCCAGGTCACTGGGCAGGGAGCCTGGGAGCACCCCCCAGTTGCATAGGGCAGTGGGGGGGCCTGTGGTTGGTTGGCCACTGTCCCCTCTATGCCCTGTGCCACCTGCCAGCAGCAGCGTGCAGGACACAGGGCACAGGCTGGTCACAGCAATGGGGACGAGAGAGCTGGGCTGGGGGGGAGTTGATCTCTTCCTTTAAAGCAAATATTTCCTTACATGGGCTTTGCAAACCCCTCATCCCAGGCTGAATTCCTACATTTATCTCCAAACAGAGATTTCACCACGGATGAATCCAGGGCACCCGCTCCGGTGCTTCCCCCCTGCTCGTGTTTTGTCTTGGGTTTTTGGATGGAAACTAAAGTGTTGGAGCATTGGCAAGGAACAGCATATCCTGAACAAGCAGAGCCTGGGCTGGGTCCAAACACTCCAGCCAGGATGAGGGGGAGTGGAGATGGGCCCTCACACCATCAGAGTCTCCATCGCCTGGAGATGGTCAGGGAGGGATGATCTGGGGCTGATGGGGCACCAGCAGGGCTGTGAGCAGGTCCTGCCTCCCTCCAGATGGGCTTTAAGGTCCATTCCAACCCAAACCATTCTGGGAATCTATGTTGGTCTTCCACAGGAAATCCACCGAGGCCATAAAGACTTAGACAGGGGAGATCTGCGTAAGAGGAGATATATTTGGATATATATATAGGGATTTATATATTTATTTCTATAAAAGGGAGACAGGACCTCTTGTTTTCACTGGTAGTAGAGTCGGATTCTGCTGCAGTGTAAAACAGCAGGAGGAAGGGCTGGCACTGTGCACAGGAGCAGGATGGGGCCAGACGGCTCCGGGTTTGGTTCCTTCCAGGTGGATTTGAGGTTTTTCCCCTCCTTTTCTTCCCAAAAGTGGGTGAAGATGGGGAAGGAGCAGGTTAAGCAAATACTCCTCGGGCAGCTTTACCTGCCGTCGCCCTGGCAACGCGGAGTGCAGGCAGGGCACGGGGGTGCGGGCAGGGCGCGGGGTGCGGGCAGGGCACGGGGGTGCGGGCAGGGCGCGGGGTGCGGGCAGGGCAGGGGGTGCGGGCAGGGCACGGGGTGCGGGCAGGGCGCGGGGTGCGGGCAGGGTGCGGGCAGGGCGCGGGGTGCGGGCAGTGTGCGGGCAGGGTGCGGGGGCTGCGCTTTGCGGCCACTTTCTCCCGGACTGTGCCCGCCGGGAGGGGCAGCCGGGGAGCACCGCACCCTCCTTTGGTGCAGCGGTACAGCCCCTCCGGTTCCCCGAGCCCCTCGGGGAGGACAGAGGGCGCGATGGGGGTCTGCTCCCCCCGGGCAAACCGCCCTGCAGAGCCCGTGCCCCCTCGGGCATCCCCAGCAGTCCCCGGGAGCGAGGGGACCAAGACCCCGGGCGCTCGGGGCAGAGGGCAGCAGGGAGTGAGGAAGCCTTATCACCTTTTTCTTTTAATTTTCCAAGCGCTCCATAAAAATTATTGTCCCGGGGACATGTGTAACTAATTAAATGGTACAGGGAGAAGAAAAACACGGATTTTTTAAGAGAC